GGCACGAATTTCCTCTGGCAACCCAGTGATAAAAGAAAACACAACACCGTAGTAGACATATCCTGCTCCCGGAAGTCACATCTATCCCACAAGCATACGAGTCACTACCCTCAAACCGCAGGTTTCCGTTAAAAAAGGCATAACGGCGAACCACCCTACTATCCTAAAGACTACCTAAAGAAAATTTGTTAGAATACAATTTCCTAAAAAATTCGAACAAGGAAAAGTACAAACAAAACACCTGGACATCCAATTGGAGAATGCAATCTGACCAGTTTTCAGACATACAGATCAATATAAGCATCTACACGCCATAACAAAACGCCAAATTTTATCCTCTGTCGGCAAAACTTTTCGACCCCAGCCAGGATGCTTCGCCAATTATATACAAGCCAAAATCCTAAACAAGAATTAGGCTAGACGAACCCGACTGGACGAACACAGTGAAACCTCTTCCGTTAGAAAAATCGTCCCAGGTCGCAAACAAATCTGGCGAAGACATTTCCCAGATACAAATCCCACGATGGGTAAACTATTCCCCGCAAGCACAACATCGAAATTCACGGCTTCTTTGATCCTCGGAGAAGGCATACCTGTGCCACTATCTATGTGCGCACACCCAAACCGATACGCGACCCACAAGCCACTTATTAGTAGCCAAAAGCAAAGGTGGCTCCCTTTAAAAACGCTGAAGTCTACCTCGACTGAGCTCCTGTGGCGCGCTACTACTCGCAATTAGCCTTCCATGCTGCCAGACCCATTTTAAACATGAAGAACACATAGCATTGTACTCTCTGGTCCATTCTGAATTGTTCTACGCCTGTTGGAAAAAAAACCACGCACCAGCATGGAAGACTACCATTGCTAACTCGAACGTTCTCAAATACTTGACCTAGTGGTGTCAGCCACTGGCGACAATGTAGCCAGTCGCTAACAATCCTGCGGATTCGTACCGTACCAAGAGATGCAAACCCGCCATCTCGCCACCACCACCCTATGTTGAATGGCCCCCGGATGGCACACTCTCGCAAATCCCTCCGACTCACAGCCCTAACTCCAGGCATTTTCTCAACAGGAGCACCCAATTCTGGCCATTACCTGAAGCCAGCGTGGGTCCGCTCTATCCCTATTACAAATCGATGAAGACATCAAAATTCTCCATCATCCATTTCAGCCGTCGATGGAAGGAAAATTACATCAAGACCTTCAAAAAGTACGATGAAAACTCCAGAAAGAGCACCAAAGCTTGAACTTGTTTATTCATACACGTGATTGTTCTAGCCCCCACAGAAATGCGGCTTGCCGCCCATTGAGAAATTATTATTACGGTTCGACGGTCATAATACGATTAGCTTGAATCTCCGTACTCAAGCCCGGAACGCTGACAAACCGCCCTCGTGAAATTATGTTTCTGCCAACCCGTATCTAAGACAAAACCGCAAATAACAACCAATCGCCAATTACCCGCGACGCAAATGAATTTGGTCGCATAAACTAACCAATAAACCCGCAAATGACAAAAACCTTTTATAAACCAAACATTCAACCCGCAATATCGATCCAAGTGACATCCATTCTGCCACACACGCTGCACATTCCGCCATAAATTTACATTGCCACAAATGTATAATCATTCCAACTTCCTTCATACAGATCAATATGGAAGTAGATAATGCGAGCAACACCAACGCCAGCTGTAAGGCCGCCATCAATGATGCCCCGCGCCCCTGGGGCAACTGCAACACCAAGAACCCCGCCGCCCCCGCCCCCCCGCAGCGGCAACGTCCCTGCAACCGCTCCCCGTAATGGTCCGCGACCCACCTACCACCTTCATCAGCACGGCACACCGTACCTCAACACCGCTAATGCCCACCGTGTGTCGACGCACACACCGCTGCAACACCTGCATGCATTTTCCAAGCATGGCAGCCACCACAACGTCAGCAGGTTCCCAAGCCGCACACGGCACTGCCTCAACTGGTTGTCTACGGTCCACACGACTACGCGAGTTACGTCGTTACGCTCTTCCAGCTGTGCATAGACAGCACCGAACTATGCTGACCGCACCCCAAAGCGGGCCTCGGCGACAACTCGCCCCAAGCCGCAGATCGCAGCAGAGCAGCCATCCGGCAGACACCACCGAAGACAGCAGTTCCACCTCCATCCAAGACCCGAGGCAACAGGACGCATCAAACGCGGCTCGGCGCCCAGGCCACACCATACCGCCGCTCCACTGCCTCCAGCAACGCGTTGTGCCACGGTTGCCTAAGCTAAAATCGCCTGGGGCCGTATGGCCCTAATGAGTTACGCCCTCCCCCTCCCATACGCCCACGAGCGCCAACCACACCCACAATCAACCGATTCACAAGTAAAACTCCACCCCATTAACACACCCCCCCGCAGACATCACACCACCGCGAGATAGTTCCACACCACACAGCCACCCACACATACACATCACATCCACACTACCCAACTTACACTACCCAACACTCAAAGGGAATCAAAAGTAACAACCTAGACCAGAAACTTTTTTCTCATCCCAGCGAATCGACCCCGATCAAGACTCCGCAAGGTTCCGCCCTTTCCCTTTTTTAACGCCGTATTATTTCTCTCAAAGTGACAAAAAAGGTGGTGCCAAACGAAGAATTAAATATGTTGGTTTGTGTATGCATTATTTGTTCGGCAATTTTATGTCTACATATATTGTAATAAATTTAATCTCTATTAGGAAAGTATATTATGTAAAAACTAAATAAAATCATTAAATTCCCAAATTGACTATATATAATATTATTAAAATTACTTAGATTTAATTAATTAATTAGAGTCTTATCAGTTTTGCAAGCATTCATAAAAATTCGCAAAATGATATTCATATGAATAAATATGATTGCATATAAACGTATAAGCATATAAGCCAAAAGAGTAACATGCGGCTGTAATATCAAAGCAAGTCTCTGAGTATAATTTTCATTGAATG